GTGTTCATTCTTCAGATATACCCGAAGTTGCCGCGCTATACCTATTTAGGGATGAAAAAAAAATAACCTGTCTTTTTTGCGGCTCTTCACTGGACTTCTTTGTCGCGCGTACAACGGCTCAAGTTTCTTACTACTTAGGGAAATACACTTTTGTTGGACTAAGCTGTTTTAGGCGAATATGTTTCATACGAGAGTGCTGAAATAAAACGCTGATTACACAACCGACTGTGCTGACGCCTGCTCAATTCTGTTTCTATTAAAACCTGATCTTTAAGTCCCTGCCCAAAGCCATCACTTTTTTCAGTTTGCAATTTAAGCAACACTGATATTTCAGTTTGTTGTGACACTTAGGTGTAGCAGTCATAAATTTATATTGTTGCTCTTCCTAATTTGATATTCTGTAGCATTGCTTCGTATGCGTACTTCGTATTCATGAACCGAAGTAGGGTTCTTTTTAAATTCAATAATTTCAGTTGTGATCAGATCAAAACTCTCCGTATGGAGTGGATTTGTCGAACCTCCAGTGAAAAAGGCAAATAATCATTTTTGGCGTGTTACATCCTAAAATCATGATGGGATTATTAGGGACGCCGTAGTAGAGGGCTCTGTAAATTTTTACTATCTGGTAGTATTTAAGGTGCGTCTAAATCTAAGCACACAGGCGTCTACCACTTCGTTTCCATCAAGATTCACGCGACGAGCTGGGCCCACATCACTCGGGCCAACACTGGAGCACCGTATCCACAGGTTCATTATGGTGGGCCAAGAAAAGGAAGCGGAAGCTTGAAGAAATGTTGCTTAGAACAACAATCTTAAAAGTCGCAGTCTGCTTGAACGACAAGTTTTAATGTATCTTTTCTTTACTGTGGAAATATCTGAGATCTAATGACGCGCACGAGGATGCAAATGTATCAGGAATGTCACACTGCACCATGCCGTGGTTACGGTGACATGAAGTCGCCTATTTTCTGGCACTGTGCATCATCTGGCAGGCTGTGTTTAAAAACTCTTCCTTTCTGTTTGTCTGTCTCTCTCTCTCCGCATTGTGTTTTCTCTTTCTCTCCTCTGCCTTGGGTAGAAGGTCACGGCACCACTATTATCTTGTACACAAGCCAAGGAATGACAAGAATGATGAACAAGCGAATGGGCTATCAGGAACCATGGCCTTGGACCCCATGTATGCTTCACGAAAAGGCCTCTCTGCAATGTGACTTTGAATTCATCTCATGTTGAAGTTATGCAATTATTACAAAATAAAGTAAAACAAACCGGTGACCTGTACAGTATGCTTTGAACAAAAAACCTACGTCCAGATACAGCAGAAATCCAATAAGCCGATCGCAACAAAAACGGTAGGTCTGCGCCATCTGTCGTTGGACATCCGAACTGCCATTGCTCCTCTGGTGCCTCCGAAAGGGTCGCAGAATGCGTCCCCGCGAGGACGTCCGGCTCCACACGGTAAGGTGCGCAGGCACAGTGGCACGGGAAGTCGCTCGGCTTCAGAGATCGTTGACAGATTCGACGCTACTCTAGCGCTTAGGAACCACACGCAATATAAGAATACCTTATCCATTGATCCTTTCGGAACACTGGAACGCGGTCATATCGAAGTGCAAGTAAAAACGTGGCAAACTGGCACGTTAGGGGATCGGGCTATCATATGTCTTCGTATTTTGTCATCGTCTTTTGGCGTAATGCTTCATCTGTAGCCTTCCATGCGCGCACTCGTGCCAAGGAAACATCATCTTCCTATTGTAAAAAACTAGCCAAGTGGCGAAAGGCACCCACAGAAATACTGTTGTTCAAGCACATTGATGATGATCACCTATTTTCAGCAAAATATAACTAGCACACTTGGCGTAACGCAGGCGAAACCACGTGTGAAAATACAAAAAAATGTAAGTGATAAATAGAGAGATATAAAGGGAAACCAATGGGAAAAAGTATATAAAAAGCAATAGAAAATGCAGATAAATGGACAGGAACAAAACTACTAAAAGAGAGAAAAAGAAAGAGTAAAAGAAAGCGGAAGAAAGAAAGCCGCAGGAAAACTTGGATAGATGCCCAGCTCCGCAGTTCCTTCAAGCTTGGCACCCCTTATTTTTGCTTATTCTCCTATGGCGACAAACAACGGAAATTTTTAGGCTTAGGAAATGACTTTTTGTCAAGTGACAGAAAATGAGAGGACAGGTGGGAAAGTTAAACAGTCATGTGACAGAGACGTTCTGACATGCCAAGTCACCCGCAATTTTTGTATGATCCCAGCTAGGACACACTATTTTGCAATAAGGATTGTGAGGTCAATCTTTGTACTTTAAGAGATAAAAACAATTTCCGTTTTTAAATATCACATTTAATTGCAAACTAATCGCAACGCGACCCTTTGGATGCTGCCCAACACTTCGCAAAGGTCGCTATGGGGTGACACTTTCGAGAGAGAGAGATGGTGGGAAGAAACGCAGGGAGGTTAACCGGAACGCAAGCATCTGGTTCGCTACCCTGCACTGGGGAAGGAGTGAGAGGAGGCGGAAAAGTAAGGAAAAGGGAATGAGAGACATTTAGAGATATGCAGTCAAGAAAGGTGGGGAGGTTAACCCATAAGTAAGCAATTATCTGGTTTGCTACCCTGCATTTGGGAAATGGTAAGAGAAGACAATATAGTACAGTAAAAAGAATGAGAGAGGGGGAGCTATGGTATTGAGAAAGGAAAGGAGGTTAAGCAGAAAGCAAGTATCTGTCTTGCTACCCTGCACTGGGAAAAGGGGAAGGGGAGACAGAAAAGTAAGGAAAAGAGAATGAGAGAGAGGACTATGATATGAAGAAAGCTAAGGAGGTTAACCAGAAAGGCAGTACCTCGTTGGCTACACTGCACTGGGGAAGGAGTAAGAGGAGACATAAAAGTAAAGAAAAGGGAAGGAAAGAGAGAGAGAGAGAGAGAGAGAGAGAGAGAGAGAGAGAGAGAGAGAGAGAGAGAGAGCTATTGTATGAAGAAAGCTATAGACGTTAACCGGAAAGCAATTATCTTGTCGGCCACCCTACACTGGGCAAGCGGTAAGAGGAGAGAGAAAAGTGAGGGAAAGCGCATGAGCAATGGTCACACTTCCAATATATATCGATAACTTGCGCCCAGAGATTAGAGGCAAGATGTTTCATTACTGCGATGGGGAAATGCGCAAGGAATCGTTTTCTCTCATGGCCAGTTCAGGATTCAAACTATGACGACTAATCACTTCAGTTCGCGCACACCAACTTTTATGATACTTGGCGTGGTCATTACAGTACTTAATACTACACAAACACTTGCGCCACAAAATGGTATTTAGCAAAGGCTACAGGGGTCTTTCAGGTTCCCTATTCGTCAATTTCAAATTCTCCTATCTCAATATTTGTATATGGTGGTTACGTATAGTGTAATATTAAGAAGAAAATTAAACTTACAAGTGGAAATTTCTTTTCTTGTTCATTGGTTCGTGCTAGCTTTCATGCAGGAGCCGTGAGCCTTGTTAGCATTTGGTAGTCCCACTAGAGGCAGAAACATAAAACAGATGATGTATTTACAAATTCGATTCATTTACCTGGAATGGTACACGTGCAACGTGGTCAACGTAGCCTTTAACTTTCGCTACCCAACTACAATTTTAGACACCACTTTCTACAAGTTATGTGGTAGTCGCAAAACCAGACTATATGAGCCATAACGTAAAGGCGGCACCCTGAAAATGTTTGCGTCGTTTCGGCGCAACATCATTGGACCTGTTCATAAGAAACGCCACTTTTTTTTTAATAAAATGTTCTTTTGTGAATGATCTGCATAGATTATATATCTTCATAGGATGAGATGTTTAAATACGTTTAAAGCCAACTGCATGACGCCACCAAGGGCTATAGTAATAATTTCTTGCTAGTTTTACTCAAACTGCGCATGTGAGGGAACCCTTGTAGCGCCTAGTATATTATACGCACTCTCTCTGCGTATGTAGGATCTCACCGCCATCTGTGGAAGACAAAAACGACCTATTCACAGTCGTAAGGTTGCAGCGCCACCTGTCGAGGCCTTAGTGCACAATTATTTATATGGATGCCTAGGCCACCTCGAGATGTCCTCGCTAGCGGAGCCTCAAATCCAAGGTCACATTTGTGATTTCTTTAGATTGAGCTTGGTTTTTGTTCGTCACCCTCGATGGTTCAACTGTAGTTCTAGCCCGGAATTTTTTGGACACAATTATTTTGAATGCCTCCACAACCATGGCCCTCTAAACTTACTCAGCCAGTTCTAGGCCACCAACCGAACTATTTTTAAAGAGCGTTCCAAAGAATGACAGATCTTTCAATATGGGCCCAAGACAGAGACAGCGGTTTTGACTCGCCTTCCCATGCTCTCTCAATTTTCTCTTTGTCTATTCGTCTATTTTTCTTGCTTTCTATATTGATCTCCGTTTTTCTACCTTTTTTTTCATCTATTTTTTTCTATCTCGTATTCTCTCTTTATATCCTTTCTTTCTCTTTCTTTCCTGTACTTTTTCTCTCTCTCCTACCTTTCCTTCTCGCTATGACTCTGTATTTTTCTTATATTATCTCTCGCTTCCTCTATTTATCTCTCTCTCTTTCTCCCTCGGTACTCGTTCTTTCACCCATCTCAGTTAACTGCATGCCATGCCGAACAATTGAGCGCTGCGGGAGAGAGCCCGCAAGGCACACGTATTCGGGGAGTGAAGCCGAAGAGGACAACGAGAGAGCGCACCGGCATGATGGCGACCGTTTTCACGCCAGTACATCGGGCGTCAGTGGAGCTTCAACTGATCCGCTGTTAAAGTATTTCTACCACGTCTCTTACGCCATCATAACCTGCCTAATTCTTGCAAGTCGTAGCAGTACCTTTCTTCAGGAGTGGCAGAAGCGCGAGTTCAAATGGCAAGAGTGTCATTTCAAAGTGCAGGAGGGTCAGTTCAAAGGAAGAGAGGGTGAGTTCCACGGTGCACTAAAAAAAACGGAGACAAAAGTTTTTGACGAAATATAAACAATCTTTATTAATTCGCGACACTTCCGTAAAGAAACCCGTCGCGTTTGTGAACTTGCTCGTACTGCGTTCTCACACTAAGTCAACGACAAACAGAGAGAGGAAAAAGATCTCTTAACGATGATTGGTGGGAAACACCTTGTTTTCTCCACCCAAAAGCACAAGCGCGACTTCGGCGTTTATACATGTATTTTTTATAGATATGAACAGTGTCGTTTGTGTAATCTGTAATCTGAATACATATACAAACACCAGTTGGAAATGAAGCTGCGTAGATCAGAGGATAGCCAGGACGTTTCGTCTTAATGATGTGTCACCTCTGATTCTCTTTCTCCGCCTACTTAAACGCTCTTTCTAAAACCTATCAATGGCTATATTTGAAGGCAAGGTAAAAAAACAAAAGAAACGTACAGACAAGCATCTATGATAGTGGCGTGACAACACAATCACGTCACTGATGTTTTTTTCTTATTGAAGTACGCTGCCAACTCACACGAGATTGGCAAAGCTGGTAATCGCTCCTTTCTTTGGTAATGACCGTTCAAGAGTAGTACATCTGTAGTAAATCTGGGAGTGACAATTGCACCACCGCCAAAACAGTGTCGCAGAACCGCTTCCGGTTTATTAACCTTCTTCAACTAGTTTTCGTCCTTCCTCCTGCAGCGCAGTCGACACTTTGTGTTCGACTTGATTATGTGGTGGCGTGTTTTTTTTTTTCATCTCTTTTAGTTGATGCTGATACATATTGCCGCTTTGAAAGTTCAATGAGTGAATACTCGGAAAGGGTGTCATGCATTTACAAAGTTAGATAAGTGCGCTTGCTTACCCGGATGACAATTTTTAACGCTCCTTCCTCATAAGCACTGCTTTTTTAGCGGGACAACCACTGCGATCTTGCTCTGCCTTCCTTCAGCTTTAGCGGAAGATGAAGCTGATTACCAGTACCAGACACTCCGCTTTGCTCGTTTGACTAGTAAATAGAAGACTTAAGACAGGCGTCAACCTTTCACAATACCTTTTTGTTGTCATATGCAAAAAGTGCTCGGTACCATATGCGTTTACTTAGTCACCACACTGGCCCCGCCGTGGTGGTCTAGTGGCTAAGGTACTCGGCTGCTGACCTGCTGGTCGCGGGATCAAATCTAGGCGGCGGCGGCTGCAATTCCGATGGAGGCGGAAACGTTGTAGGCCCGTGTGCTCAGATTTGGGTGCACGTTAAAGAACCCCAGGTGGTTGAAATTTCCGGAGCCCTCCATTACGGCGTCTCTCATAATCATATGGTGGTTTCGGGACATTAAACCCCACATATCAATCACTCAATTAGTCACCACACTTAGTTCCTAGAGGACCTTTTCTCTATGTCATGTTTCGTAGAAAGCATTAGGCGTGTTCCTCTGAAAACTGAGGATTTGGCTCTATTAAGTACGTTATCATAGATGGCGTACATATCAATCTAAATAGTAACACGGGAATACACAATAGTTGGTCGTTACAGTGTGATAAAGACCAATTATCAAAGATATTAAAGGGTTATTGGCTGCAGAAAAGGGGCCATTTTGAGCTACTGAAAATTCCGTGAAGCATCATTCACGTTTAAAAAGGTGATGACAAGCGGACAATGGAAAACAGCTTGTTTCAGTGCTCTCCAGTGGTTGTCTTTAGCAACCAGTGTGTATCTTTGAACAGCACAATGTTGGAGAGAATAATTACATATTCGCCTTGCATAGGTACATTGGCTTAAGCTCAAAACCGGGTCAATAATGTGAACGAGCGCGTAATCACTATCCACGAAAAGTAAAGCACAAGCCATTTTTACCTGCATTTCGTGCTGTGGCAGTCTACGTAAAGCTTGGCAGAACCATTTGGACAATGTCTTCATCGCGAGCAATAGACTGAATATTCATATCAACAATTCTATTCAGTTACGTATGCAACATTAGCGCTGTAAACGGGAAATCTTTAAAAATGGCAATAGTATTTTATTAGGCCTATGTAAATCGTACAATTTCCTCTTATTTGAACCTTACTCTCTTTTTCTTATTTTCTTCATCAGGCTCTATTTCAGCTCTCACTTTTGAGCTCAATTGTAAACAAACGCTTCCTTAGTGACATGGAGACCAGCAATATTCAACAGCTCTATATGCTATTTCGCAAATATTTCTTTGTTCTCGTGCTCGCGACGACGCTGCACCAGAATGAATAGGGCTTTGTTTCTCCTGAAGTGAGAAGTTTTAACATGTAACACAATATCTCAGCTAGAATTTATTCCTTAATTAAAACCTTGAACAGTCATGGCTCATAACTGGTGCTCTGTTGGTACTAAAAAAACACTCTCGTGTGCTCCATGCAATCTGCATTTTTTTATAGCACCCGAAAGTGTTTCACTTTAAGTGAAGCCTTGTGTACTGCCACCTGAATCTTTACAGTCGTGCAACTGTCTGTTACGCATGGTCTGGAACCAGAAGCCGCCTGTTTGAAGCAATGACTAAATTTGCGCTTCATATGCTCGATTCCAAACACTACTGTTGTGTCCATCACTTAACCTTTGCAGAAGTGTAGAGCCAACTGTTGTAATCAATGTCCGTGGTAGTTAGTGTGCTCAACGTACAGTACTAAAAACCTGGCGTTATGAACATTCATTCTTGAAGCGTGTAGCTTAGCTTTGGTTCAAATATGGGCCTCTCAGTCCTCGAGAAGCTGCACGAAAAAGCTCAAGCAAGTCGTTTCAAACGGCCTTGCGTCGAAAAGAGTTCACGAGTGGTCATGAATGCGAGGGGTATTCTTGAAAGCTCATCACCGTAACGGCGGCGCTCTAGCACACCATACTAGCCACAATAAATTTGGCATTCATCATAGCGAAGTGACTACTGATCTTTAGGTACACTACAATGCAATAAACAAAAAAGATGGGAGGATAACTTATTGGCTCAACTTGGACCACTGCAATGAATGCGTTTGTTCTCGATTATTGATCAATGGCGATACGTACGCAGGCACACTCACAAGCACAAAAAATAAAAGCAGCAGGACAGTGCGTCACATTTAGGAGCGCGCCCTAAGGTAGACTTGTTTCCACGGCTTAGGGCCCACTACTCTAGCTTATCGGCAATTCTCGCTCGTACCAGGCGGACTGTCCTGTTGTAACCCCCGTTCTTTTGTGTTGTGCGTCTGCGTACTTGGAGCTGCTGATCAATAATGCCATGACACCAACTCGCCCAGTGAATGTTGTCCTCGATGTTAGTGCTAGTCTTGCTTAGGTTGCCGCGAGATTCATTCGCTTACGTCCAAGACGTTCCGCACTTCAACCGCCATGGTAATATCATCTATGCACCAGTTCATCGACGCCGGAGCGGCAAGAGCTCATCGAATGTCAATCGGGTGTTTCGTTCCCTCGTTTTTTCGCGCAGCTCTGGGTGGAAGCCAGGTTTCGCTGGAAACAGCAGGCATCAAATCACATGAGGTAGAAACACCAGTAGATGGCGTTGAACACGAGGTACGAGATGGGAAAGATGACCCTCGAGTACTTGTCGATCTTGTTGACGTCCTTGATGCGCGGCATGGAGGCCCTGATGGCACTCGCGCCTCGCCGCAGCGTCTGGAAAACGCGAGGCCTTCGCGCGAATCCGCCGCCGCCGTAGTCCGCCGCGGCTCGCAGTCCGGCGCCTCGGTAGCAGGCACCCGCCGGAAGAGTGCGTGAGTTGTACGGAAAGCGGCCCGTCATGCGGAACGATGGCGGGAACTTCAGCTCGCTGTCGCTGCCAGGCGCCGACAAGGGCCGGTGCCGGTTGCGGAGGCACGGGATCGGTGACAGCCGCACGTCGTGCAACTCGATGATCTCCTCGTTGTTCTGCGACATGGCAGAGAATACCAGAGAATGTAACGCGGGCATAACAAAAAACAATCATGCTGTTTAGAGTCAGAGCAAAGACGAAAGATCCAGAGAAGAGACAAAGCAAGAGTTTAAGTGCCAATGTGTTTCTCGTAGCTCCCTGTCAAATTTCTGTGAAGCGTGGTGGGGATTGCCTGTTACGGATCTGTGGTTTTATGAGATCTTGGATAGCATGATGAGCTACTTTGGTAGAAGAACTTGTCGCGTTTAATTCTCGGTGTGGATTATGCTCAAAAAAATCACCATGCTGAAAGCCTGGGTAATAATGTCGACAAGAAAGCCTTGAGAACTTTCAGAAAGCTTGTTATTCCTTAATCATAGCGCGACTATGAATCTGAATGACTCTTTCATGATACCTCGGTAACCATGCAAGTTACTCGCACAGACAATAGCAGCCTCATTAGGCCATCTAGTGAAGTTTAAATGGAGCTCTACTGATGCGAAGCGTCTTATGGCGGAATTTAATTCAGTGGCGCGCGGCATGACCGCCTTTACTACGAATGCACAACAACTGACCCAAGCGCTGCCAGAACTTGCTCACATGCTAGCGCGCTCCGGCGAGTGTAAGTGGCAGGGTCTCTGTAGGTACTACGGCCTCTCTCTCTTACACTCTCTCAGTAATCATGTGATAGCGTGAAGGAACGAGATTCTTCAGACGCGCGATGAAACAACGCGTTGTATCTTAGTCACAACATGCCCCGCCGCGGTGGTCTAGTGGCTAAGGTACTCGGCTGCTGACCCGCTGGTCGCGGTTTCGAATCCCGGCTGCGGCGGCTGCATTTCCGATGGAGGCGGAAATGTTGTAGGCCCGTGTGCTCAGATTTGGGTGCACGTTAAAGAACCCCAGGTGGTCTAAATTTCCGGAGCCCTCCACTACGGCGTCTCTCATAATCATATAGTGGTTTTGGGACGTTAAACCCCACATATCAATCAATCAATTAGTCACAACATGCTGGCACGCGCCAGTGCGTCCGGCCCTGCGTAAATGGCTGTGTGAGCGGCTGTGACCTCTCCCTCTTACACTACCTTAACAATCACGTGATGGCATCGGGAAACGAGATTCTGCAGACGTGTAATTAACCCACGTCACGTGGTGGTGAACCCGCGTGGCGTGCTCCAACGGGACGAGTAACAGCAACACCAACTACAGTGAATTCACGGTGTGCTCCACTTTCAAGGTACCGTTAATATCAGGCAAGGTGCCCGTGATGAACGGAACCTTAAGTCGACCCATGCACTGCTTCGCGTGCTACTTATGGTTTGATTTAGTGGGAGATGGTGTAACTTCTATGTCTTCGAAACCTCTCCTGGCGAAACACACCAGGTAATCCTTGGCGCATGAAAGTCCTCGGACCACAGGTGTGGAAAGTCTGATTGTTTAAATAAATCATACGTTTGCCATGTCTATCAAGTCAGAGGCTGAAGACAACTTTCCTTCAGATTTCTATTCCCTTATGGGCACTGACTTTAGCACAGATATACACTGCCCCACAGCAGGCTATCCTCAGCGATTATTACAGTTCAAACAAGATGCTTTAATTGTTGCTAACTAAGTGCAACGGGTGACATAGCTAGACAGAAATTAGCACAGTAGTGGTGAGTATTCTTGAAGGACTACCTCTGGGCCCGCTAGACACTACTACACGAGAAAATATGCGTTACTGGCCTGGACAAGGGTGCTTTGGATTTCATGGTGTCGTTGTCATTAAAGTATTGTGTCCTATAACTTGGGAAACAGCGCAGCTTGCGAGAAACATTAGAGGACAGTCAGCATGCTCACTGGATAAGGTGAATCCGTGGTGGGTGGAGGAGGTGGATGAATCTTGGTTTCCTTGTTCTTCTTCGTCTTCTTCTTGGCCCGGGCACCCCAGTAGGTGTAGTTGACGGCCGCGTACTCGAGCAGCGCAGCGAACACGAACACGAAGCACATGACGAGGTAGATGTCAATGGCCTTGACGTACGATATCCTCGGAAGGGAAGACCGCACTCCAGTGCTGATGGTTGTCATCGTCAGCACCGTCGTGATGCCTGGTTTGATAACGACATCGAGGCGTGAGGCATAGCATACAAGACATGATCATATGTGGATTGTGCTCTTCCAACCAAAATTTAACATGGTTTACGCGCCAAACCCATGCCTAGAACCAGTGCCAGTATATGCAAAACTGGGTTACGTTAATATTGTTCATAAAACAACATTAAAGCCAATATATATGTCGGACATGCCGTTAACGAGAACAGTAGGCCGACGGCAAGAAACAACCACGAAAGAAAACGTTTGTTGATTTGTCATCAGCTGTTTGTCGTTATGCTTCGGGTAAAGCGATAACAACATATCGGACGAAAGGGCGTCTATTTTCTTCGCTTTTTTTTTAAGGTAAATAGGACTCCTTTCCGCTCTGGACACTAGACTATACGTACCAAGGGCGACTCTGGCGGACGTCGCCTCATGGTTGATCCAAAAGGACACCCATGACAACATCACAATCAAAATTGATGGAAGATATGTCTGAAAGATGAAGTATCCGATGTTCCTCTTGAGCTCAAAACTTAGCGATAGTCGTTGATATGTTCCTGCAAGCAGAAGAAAAAGAGCCTGGATCAGGTTGCGCTCATTCTCCTTTAAGTCTTAGTTATGATAATAGATATGAAATAAATTTGTATTCAACGAACGCCCCAATTCATGTGCCAAGGAGAACGCTGCATGCGACCGAATGAAATTTTCTATCAGTTCCACGTGCACAACATCGTTTGTTCAGTGCTACACTATCGTTCAGTGACATACGCACGCTGCTGTAACTGTCCATCAATGATAAGTTATGTGACAATCGTATCAACCGCAAGCTATGCTCGCACTCATGCCAACTTGATTTAGGCAACAATAAAAGCGAAACAAAGATGAATAAGCACTCACGGACATTGTCGACTCTCAGATAAATGTTTATTGCATATCATACAGACGTGAACGTGTACCCGCATGCACAAAAGAAACAGGTTGTGAGCAAACGTTAAAAAAATACCACAGGTGCCATAATCTGTGTGCCGCCTGTGATATTCAGGAATTCAGATGTCTTAAAGCTTTATAGTATTTTGTACTGTAAAAGTAAATGTAGTAATAATCAAGACCAGCTGGCCAGGCTGTCCCTTTTGTTTTACTTCTAATATAGCTGATATGTTTCACCACTTAAACCAATGTATAGGACAATGTTATATAGACCTGTGTTGTGTTACTGAACACTACAAACTATCTTGAACCATCGTATATCAGTGCTCGTTGGAGAAAGGATAAAATTTAGCAATCAACTGTGTCTCTTTTTCCTCCAAGCTTACCATTTTATATTCGCTGGGGCATTTCTGAAACATTTCGCAGTGACTTCTGCGAGAATAATATTTCTTGTCAATATTTGCACATTGTTTTGCACCAGCAAAATAATTTTTTATCTGGTTCATACTAACTATTTTGCTTTGCACATATCGCTTGCTTTGCCTTTTCATTCGCTCACATTACATGGCCGAAATTCAGACGCCGGCCGGTAAATTATTCATGACGGGAATCACCAGTAGCCTTCCGTGTGAATGCGAAACCGGAACTGCGGCGGCATCGAAGGAAGGAAGGAAAATAAGGAGGAAAAGAACGGCAGGGAGGTTAACCAGCCTATAGACCGCCGGTTTGCTACCCTGTGCATGGGAGGGGGATGGGGGAGATAAAAGATAGAGAGCAGAGAGTGATAACACAGCACATTCGGCAGCACACGCGCGCACACTAAGTCATTGCCCAGTCTTGTCTTTCGCGGTGTGGTACATTGCTGTTACAGCCGCTTGCTCAAGTCCATGTCGCGTAGGAATTTCAACAGAGCGTTTGTCACCTTCTGTTGCAATGTCTTCTCTCGGGCACTTGACAGAATAGTGTCCACAGACATTTGGGTGTTGTCGATGCGTTCAAGAACGGATACCAGTGACTGTCTCTGGATGTCATACAACGGACAGTCGCACAGGATGTGGTGTAGCGTCTCTTCGCAATGGCAGGCATCGCAGAGAGCGTTGTCGGCCATTCCTATGACAAAGCAATAAGATTTTGTAAATGCCACTCCTAGCCATAAACAATAAAGAAAGGTGGCTTCTCTTCGGTCGAGCCTAATGGGCATGCGGAGAGCCATCAAAGAGGACAGGCGGTGTCGATGATTCGTCTCGTTGCTTGGTGGGAACCATAGTGAAAACGTGACTTCACGCGCAAGTCGTCGATGATTACTGGCTGCATCGGTCCGCGAAAGTGGTATGGCTTCTTCTCGTGTTCCTTCAAGAGCTTCCCGCGCGGCAGTATCGGCCTGTTCGTTCCCTATGGCGCCGCAGTGACTTGGCAGCCACTGAAACGTCACATGATGCCCTTTCTCATGTGAAGTGTGGAGAAGGCATCGAATTTTAAAAAACAAGCTGTTCGTACGGCCCGCGACTCAGTGCTGAGAGCACAGATTGTAGGGCAGCCCTTCAGTCGCTGAAAATCGATCATTGTTGCGCTGAGTCCCGATTGACCACACAAAGTGCAGCGCGCAAAGCAGCTAGTTCCGCTGCTGTAGATGCCGTGGATTGGTGAGTCCTAAAGCTGATGGTAACATCTCTTGCTGGGACAACTACTCCACTTGACGAACACTGGCGGTTAGTGAAGCCATTGGGATATATATGTACACTGCCTGAATATTTCTCGTGCAAAAGAAGAAGAGACAGTTGTTTCAGCACGGGCTATGAAAGCTCAGATTTTCTTCGAATCCCTGGTACACTAAGATGCACTGTGGGTCGCATAAGACACCAAGGGGGTATCGATGTTTTAGATGCAGGAGTGAAGCCCGAGGGAAGTTTCTCGTTGTACTTCACAATCATTTCAGCGCCTCTCTGAAGGCAACAGTGCAAGGTGATGACAGGGAGCACGTGCGAAGTGTCTGATGTGCGTTCTCAGGACTTCTACAACAATGTGAGTTTGTATCGAATAGTCACCAGCAATTGCAATTGTTGCCTCTGTTGACGTACATCTGGGCAGACCAAGGCACACTCTCAATGCTTGGGCTTGTACTGCCTGTAGAACAAGAACATTGGTCTTGCAGGTATTGCTAAGCACGGGCAAGCTATATCTCAGGAAACCGAGAAATAGGGCTCTGTAGAGTTCCATCATTGCGTCTACTGACATCCCCCACGTCTTTCCCACCAGAAACTTGAACAATTGGGAAATAGTGGTCAGGCGCTTCTTCATATTGGCCAAATGCGGACTCCAACAGAGGTCTCTATCAATAATGATGCCCAGAAACCGGTGGGTTCTGGCGTAAGAAATCGGTCGCCCACCCATTGAGATGACATAAGGGGTCATTGCTTTGCGAGTGAAGGCCACCAGCGCGCATTTTTCTGGTGATACATTGAGACCTTGTTTTAACAAGTAGTTGGAAATCATAGTTGCTGCTCTTTGAAGCCAGGAACGTATCTGAGGATTTGTGACTGCCGAAGTCACGACACAGATGTCATCTGCGTATATTGAGATTTTAATGGTACTTGGCAAGTATTCAGCAAGGCCAATTAGTGCAAGATTGAATAGCGTCGGGCTAAGAACTCCGCCTTGAGAAACACCCTTAGAAAAACAGTGTCGCGTACTTGGGCCATCTTATGTTAACACAAAGAATGATCTTGCAGCCAGGTAACTCGAAATCCACCGAAAGACTCGACCACCAAGACTAACCACCGCGAGAGCACCCAAACTGGCTTCATGTAGTACATTATCATACGCGCCTTTCACATCTAGAAACAAAGCTGTAGATAGTCGCTTACGGGATCTTTCGTGCTGAACGTACGAAACTAGATCAACGACATTGTCACTGAAAGAGCGGTTGCGTCGGAAACCAGCCATAGAATTCGGATAAATTTTGTAGTATTCAAGATACTACTCCAGGCAGCCTAGAATCATCCGTTCCATTATCTTCCCAACGCAACTGACGAGTGCTATTGGGCGGTATGAGGCTAGTTCGAGTGGGGATTCGTTCTGCTTCAAGATGGGTAACAAACGGCTTACTTTCCAGTCGTCAGGAACATTGCCATCCTGCCACGAGATGTAGAGGCTCAACAGTTCTCTCTTTGCACCTTCCCCAAGGTTGCACAAGGCTCGGTACGGAACACAATCTGGGCCCGGAGAAGTTGAACGCCTGCAGAGAGCTAGTGCCGCCTCGAGCTCCTCTATTGTAAAAGGGAGGTCCATGTGGTAGTCACGGGAACGGGGGACGTCACCTTTCACTGGAGAATCTGGACGAGTGGCTTGGTTGGCGATCTGCGCACAGAAATCTTCTGCGACATCGATGTCTTGCCTCCCTTGAAACAGCGCGAGCGCTTTGAATGGAAAACGCTGTTCCGTAGGGTGACGCAGACCTTTCACCGTTTTACAAATGTGTGAGAGTGGCTTGCGAGGGTCTAGTGACTGGCAAAACGTTGTCCATCGTTCCGACGCTAATCTATCCATGTGACGCCGAATCTTCTTTTCCATCCTCCTGGCTGCCCTGAGATCGTGAATTGATCTTGTACGCCGATACCGACGCTCCGCCCGGCGTCGAAGTGCTCGGAGTCGCTCCAACTCTATGTCGAATTCGTTTCGTGTGGGAGATATGGTCACCGTGCGAGTGGCGTTTTGCATTGTGCTCTTAATTGTTTGCTCTAACCCACATCGTAGGCCATCGCTGCAAGCATCTTCCATGTCAGATTTGAAGTTGGTCCATTGGACTGCTTGAATGGTCGTCCGTGGACCACAACCAGACAAGCCTTTGATGTTAAGGTAGATTGGAATGTTATCACTTCCTCGTGTCTCAACATCTGGAAACCACTTGACGTATCTCGTGAGGGAGTTGGAGACAAAAGCAAGGTAGAGACAGCTGGCGTATGTCACCCCTCGAAGAAAAGTGGGGCTACCGTCGTTCAGGAGAGTAAGGCCATAGTTCTAGGCGATGTTTTCTAACCTGCGTCCTCTTGCATTTGTCCGCGTACTTACCCATGCGTGATGGTGCGCATTGAAATCACCTATGATGACCCATGGTGCAGGACACACACTCAAAATATCCGCTACTCTCCTGGAATCGAGTGGCGGCATCGATGATGTTCTTTAATATAGGCATGGACTACGGCTAGTCTAACGTACACATACTTATATATATATTTGAAGAGAAGGGCGCACACGTACGAAATGCAGTTTATCGGCTGGTGGGCCAGCCTTCGTCAGAATGAGTGATGATATGTTACAGACACTTTCGATATATAGGCAGGCAGGTGCATATATACACATGCGCAGTGTACCACTGTAAGATGCTATGCGCAACGATAACAAGGTACAGGCGCATGGTAGACAACATACCGCACGGTGACTAACAATGACTAACAACGACGAGAACAAATTGCGTAAGACAAGAAACTGCGACACTGGCCAGTGAAATACCACGAGACAAGCACATATCAGGAATATTGGCACTGTGCCAAAGCCAGTTAGTAAGAAGAGAAGGCGACTGAGTGGGCTTTGTCTCTATTAACGACGTGTTTCGTTTGTCACCATTAACACTCTCGCCCGAGATCTCAACTGGCGGGCGGAGTTCCTTACGCCTTACACTTCTCATTCTTCGCCCTCCCAGGCCTGCGAAAAACTAACTCCTTTGGCCACTTACATAGACATTCTACAGCACTACAGACTAGGCCGTCTCCGCTATGCTCCATCTTATAAATACCTCTCTCGACGTGATGCCGTCCTATGGTGCAAGCTTCAGACAGGTGTCTTTCCCAACCCCTGGCTTTATAACAAGGTATACCCACACCTCGTGACACCACACTGTAAATACTGCTCACAATCGGCCACCCTCATACACATGGCATAGACGTCCCCTTAGTACGCTGACACTTCTCACACAGAATATACATGGGAGTCCCTTCTGCATATCACTGACTCGGCACAGCAACGCCGGGTAATCGGAGGCCGCGGTTTTCCAAGGGATCTCCGCTCACCTCCTCTAAGCAGCGTAACCGACCTCTCGGCTGGTCCCCTCTTTTGGGAGTAATAAAGTTTTGATCATCATCATCATTAGCCAAGCCACAATCTCAGCAAACATTTATGCACAAAATAACCAAGAAATTATATCAGTAGACTATTGTCTACTTCAGCTTCCCTAGTGAGCCACATAATTGGCCAACAAAAGTAATTTAGCTTAAATGTATTACTGATGCCCCCACCAAGTAGCCCTTGGAAATATACATTACACGAAAGCTGTTTCAGCAGTCGTTTTTCATACCGCAGTTATCCGCCACCGCAGTCAGCGTCCGTAACGACTATATAAGAAGAAGAAAATGAATGAGGAAAATACTCAGAATATAATGGTACCACAACACTGCCCTCTGCGTGCCAAAGCAGTGTTCTGCCACTGAGCCACGCCGGTGTTTGGAATCATTTGCAAATTGACCCTGTACGGCGTTCCTGTCAAAGCAGGGACCGCGCCAACATGTGTGACATATTGTGGTACACGAGTACAATAAAAAAAACAGGCATCACACGATGTGAATAGCGCAACGAGTGGGTCGTTGAATGCTTCCAGCCCTTCACAAAAGGATCAGCCATAAACCTTCCTAGTCATCAGCCACAGCATCAGCAAGGTATCTATCATTCCTTACAGGTCTATAACGGGTACGACACTTCTCGGTAAAAAGACGAATAATGGCGTAGTGTATAGTCCCCTACTTCACAACAACTTCGATAATTTCTGGGGTGTCGGGGACCTCGCAAGTGTACGTGCGCTAACTGCCAAGGAGTCATGCTAGCAAACGTAATACAACACTGTAGGAGAGCAAAGTGAGGACTGGGCGTCACACAATGCCAATTACCTAATCACTGGGCCGTCTATAGCTCCCAAGCCGTTACAACGGGCACATCCGTAATTCTTGATCATCATCGACCACGGCATCAACAAAGACCACGTAATGTCTTAGAGTGGTGTAGCAGGTACCTGGCTTCGTCGCAGAATGAATACGCATGACGTAGCGCTTCTCTACTGCACAACACAAAAACAGTGATGATTTATGGTTTCGGGAGTGTCATGCAAGTGTACTTGCAGAACTTAACCCAAGAGAGCTTCAAAAAAGCTGTAGAAAGGCCGCTTTTCTAGCTTTCACCGTAACTAAGTTGGGCTTTCCAGGCACGCCTGGTGTTTTCTAGTCTTCATTTTTATTCAAAGGTTTGACTAAGTTTACCCTTAAGACCTGGTGTATGTTTCCACGTTTTGTCCTGTATTGTTTTAGTGCTGTTGTCATTTTTCAGAACTCGGAGCAGTGGCTTAGACGAGCAATCGTTTCACTGTTCTTCAACAAGCTTCTGTGTGAAATTAGACCTGTATTCGCGATCAAACGAACGCTCACCGGTGGCGAGCTTCTCCTTTCGGTCAGTCGTCTCGTATCTGATGATCGAGAATTGCGGAAGTTCAGACTGCTCAACCCCGACGACGGGCTCTGGATCTTTCCAGAACATTACCACGTCGGACACTGTGTATCCATCTGCAAAAGATGCACATATAGTTAGGCAAATCAAATGAAAACAACCATGCATGGCAAGGACAAATTTTCTGAAGTTAAAACGTGTCTTGTTTCGAGCCGTTGATGTTCATGCTTATAATAACCATGGAGTACCGAGTGCTGAGGTAACTTATGCTTCTTTATTACAAGACCTCTGAGACTGAGCCGAATGGTACCTCGTTATTGCCTGAAAAAAAAAAGCTCTAAATATATCTTACTGGTTTAGCGAGAATCTACTAATCAAGATAGTCAAATACAGGGACCGTAAGCTGCAGTACTGCGACTTATCTGATTCTACTTTTTCTGCAACAATACATACTGCACGTAGTGTGGTTGCTAGTGGTTGTGGCATGTATGTAAAATGATCTTCCAGTCTAGTAACTATATTGTTGCTCTACGTTACACCTTTGTAGGTTTCTTCACAACAATTAAATATTTTAGTGTTCAACGTCTCACTCGCTGATAAGATGTACAGTTTTAACATTTTTAAAACAAACAACTCAAACATAATACTTGGCTTGTATACTGAACTGTCACAGCAGCATTTACTGGAAGTTAGACACCACAGTTTTGGTACAAAACATTACGAGATTGAATCGCCTACGCATCTTTTTATGCAGGTAACTCACTCGAATCATGAAAGTACATTTCCCAGTTTCATTTTTTTCCCTTGTCTGCAAGTCTTGGACACACTGTGACCAATTTAAATGCTACCGGGTTCGATAACCTCCATAGAAGTCAAATATGATTGGGAAGTTTACCTAAAATGAGTTTCTTTCGCCAGCTATCATGCAGGCTTTGACACAAGGTAACGTTCTCTACGTAAAAAAGGAGTGATGAGAATGTACTCACTAGCCCAATTTTTTTGTTAATCCTTCTCCGTCGGTTCTCCATCATCATAAGACGCAAAACAGCCACACACCTCAATATTCTTGGCATAAGACACATTCCCACTCTATCGGATAGGCACGTGCTTAGTTGATTTACAAAATACTACAATTAGAACTCTTTTCAGTTCGTGCAAAGTACTCAAAGAGTTATTAAGACTAAACCTAGCACCATAGCATTACTTCCAGCTTTACTGAGGCTGATATTGGCTTCTGGGATTTATCATGACATCCTAACTTCTTGTTTCGCTATCTTTCTATGGCTGATCTATTGATTTGATTGATATGTGGGGTTTAACGTCCCAAAACCACCATATGATTATGAAAGACGCCGTAGTGGAGGGTTCCGGAAATTTCGACCACCAGGGGTTCTTCAACGTGCACCCAAATCTGAGCACACGGGCCTACAACATTTCCCCCTCCATCAGAAATGCAGCCCCCGCAGCCGGGAGGCTGATGTAATTTATTATTTCAAGTCAGTTCGGTCAACGATGAATTCATTCAGGGTACGTTTATACTCACAGCTCTCAATTTCGACCGTGCAGTTTTGAGAGTCCAGTGGATAGTAGTGCAAGTCCATCATACAGGCCAAAGTAGTTGTGAACCTGGACAAAATAAAGGCCGCCTTGATTTATTCAGCGAAGAAAGTAAAAGCATTCAATGTAAACGCCGCAGTTATGTCTTCGTTCCGGCGTGCGTACCAAACGTCGCATGTTATTTGCAGTAGGAATTTGATGTTATGGAAACAGATACCCCTCTTTTAATACTCCGTCGCCGTTGGCTATTTTTCTTCGGTATCATTTATGTCAGCGTAGCAGCAACAGTTATCTGGCTTTGTATTTTGACACGAGTTCGAAGGAAGTGATTGCTAAGTTACGAGAAGGATGCTGCTCAAATGCACTATCCAAACTGGTGCGAATGTTTCGTAGTCTTGTCAGGACAGATTGACTAGGAAAACGAAAAGGATAACTTCAGACTGTTTCAGATTTTCAACGCGATCTGCACGCTATATGCGTTTCTCATAGAAATCATTTCGCCTCATCTGTTACATTTATAATTAATTTTTGTTTATACTATCTGGCATCGGTAAGCTGATTTAGCTGATTAAGAAGTTAACTCATTTAAAAATACATGCCAATCCAGACAATAGAAGCTGTGTACTCAATTGCAAATTTTATTAAACAAATCCTAAATACGCTCACCAAATGGTCCTCGTTTACTCTTAGTAACTACTAGCTCTATAGAGCATGCCATACTATTTCTCGTGTACAACACTCGTATGTCGTGTTAGAGATCTGAACTCCCTCTAGTTTTATCACGAAGCTTTGAAAATGTATACACTTCTTGTATTGTTGTCATTGTTGCTTGGTTACACTGGATGAAAGTCGACTTTCGTCAAGTGTTAATGGCTTAATGTGCGCGTGCGTGCGCGCGTGTGTGTGTGTGTGTGTGTGTGTGTGTGTGTGTGTGTGTGTGTGTGTGTGTGTGTGTGTGCATGTGTATGTGTGTGTGTGTGTGTGTGTGTGTGTGTGTGTGTGTGTGTGTGTGTGTGTGTGTGTGTGTGTGTGTGTGTGTGTGTGTGTGTGTGTGTGTGTGTGTGTGTGTGTGTGTGTGTGTGTGTGTGTGTGTGTGTGTGTGTGTGTGTGTGTGTGTGTGTGTGACCAGATGAAACAATGAAGTTTCACTGGAGTGAATCTAGAAGCGAAGCACCTTATTTTGAAGGATGGCATGTCCACCTCTCCTAAATATGTGGCACCGATTGCGCCAACCTAATTAAGACCCTGCCCTTAGATGCAATATGGATGCGTCAAAAACATTATGTTTGCACTATCGGCGTCAAATCAAACTCTAACAGCGGCAAGCCTTTGCGATAGTGTAGTGCGTGCCGTTTAGTTATCACCGTTGACAGGCGCGCGCATCCTGTTCGACGTCTCTGCACATAAATGCGTGCCTGTTCACGGTGATAAGTGGACGGCGTGCACTATATACCATCGCGAAGGCACGCCGCTGTTCAGGTATCATTTGACGCCGACAGTACCTTTTGCACAAATTTTGGTCCTTATGTTATTTCTTCAATAAGCACACTTGAAGTAATTTGTATGTCGTCCAAAAATATTCTATGATATCTTCGTCGTTGTCATGATTGAAGTGATAGCAACCTCACACTTTCGTGACGTAAGGTGCATTGTGTTTAAATTTATAATTATGCAGTTGATGTGCGCGCAACAAATAGTCCTTTTTGTACTTGAGCCTGGGATCACGGCAGCTTATTGTTATGAACAATTCACAGCACTATTCGCCGCATTCGCTTACACTTCTATTTCTTAGCATAGTAAGAATGTGAGTTTGTTTTGAACTCATTAAGATGCAACTCTCATCTGGAGTTCCTTTCTTGTCAGTTATCCGCATACCTATACAATTATGCTGAAATGTTCACCCAGTTTTAGGCAAGAACCTAGAGTCACTGCAAACCTCATGCCATAGGTGATGTGTCCGTCGGACTGAAGCCGCACCATCTTGTTCTTCTCTGTAACGTCGTGGAGGAATGAGTTTTTGTCGTTGGCGAAGAATGTGTCCGGCACCCAAATTTTCTCGGCGAAGTCACCGGACAGCGTCAGCTCATACTTCTCCTTGCTAAATGTAAGCCTCTCGTCACGCCAATATTGATTCAGGTACAGGGTTATCGTGTAGTCCTGAAAACGAAGAAAGTAGTCGTCATCAAAGCATCTCTAAAATTTGAGGTAATCCGGCTGATAAAAACACTATATGAGGTAAAACTATTCTAGTGTTTGTCTAAAAATTGTCAGGCGAGGGGTGTTCATTGGGAAAATTATAACACGCACGTGGCTCGTCCGAGAAAAGAAACAAACATATGTTGATGTTTAGAGGCCGCTATGGGTCCCTTGTTCACAAATTGCGAACAAGGGACCCATAGCGATTCACGAATTGTGAACTATAGGTACCCGTGGAGGCTCAAAAATCATGAACAAAAGACTCATATTCACAAATTGTGAACAAGGGACCCGTGGCCACCCCGAAACGTCACTATATGTTTATTTTACTTCGGACAAGGTGACTGCCTGTTTTACTTCTTCCAATAGGGTCAACGTTGCATCAGGCAGGATAAGGTACCACAGGCAGGTCGACAAATGTCTCGATACGCTTGCTGAATTTGACAAATGAGTTTTTTTTTTTTCTAGCCGTTAGTTTAAGTGGTTAGACAAGTAACAACACGTGTGGAAGCTGCTAGGGATGACTATATCCCAAAGCATTAGTACTGAATGTTCGGCCAGTAGTGACTTTCTTTTACTTTTTTTCGCTTCCCTCTTTCCACATTCGTCTGAGACCGTCGTGTGTGATAAGTAGCTATGTTATTTCTACACGACGGCCCCTGTCTTACTCTTATGACTTCGTCATTTACCACGTAAAATACCCGCTAGTGTATATCGTGATCCTAAACAAGTAGTCGCAACTTGATAGTGTTGGTGATAAATGCCGCGGAAAGGTGGGGACAATTACTTCGTCAAATGCCACAGTATATTAATTTATTACGTTTTCTTCATTTTTTCTAATGATCCAAATGAAATAAGGACAACGTGCAGGAAAGTTAGGACTTTCATGCAAAATTTTGGCAACCCGTTTTATTCTTGTGTGTTTGTAGAGAAGCACAATTAGAATATTTGTTGTGCACTTGCACATTCACTTCCATATTACTTGTTCACAATATTTATGTGAACATGTAGGTGACTTACATAAATATTTTATTAACTTGGATATTTCATTGAAAAATCAATGAAAGGGGGTCATACAGGTATAAGTCTCATAACTATTACCAGATCTTTTGTCTAAATGTCTTTATACAAAGGATATTTTTTTCGGTATCTTACATGCTTGTTTTTCGAGCTATCTGACCCTCACGGAGTACACTGAAGTATATCATTGTAATTATTTACTTGATTGTAAATATTAATCAATAAGTATTCATTGACTGATTTTGTGATCATTGACATATTACAAGTGGGACATTTATTTGCCCTAGAATAATGTCAAAAATTGCACCCAATTGACTATTTATGATGGCAGAATATTCACATCACGAGTAAATACAATTACTAAATAATGCGAACTCATTTCTCCTAAGCTAGAAGAGGCTGGTGGCACATCCGTACCCTAGTTCTTTGAATTCGATTCTAATGGCCTCAAGTGTTACGTACAAGAGGAGTGCATGAAAATCTTGCTGTGCACAACTCATATACTTGTTATGCATATATGTTCGCATAACACGCGAGATACGTACGTTATTTTTAAACGTTCCTGCTGCTTATACATGGTTACACACGTGTGTTGTTATTTTTTGCTGAACACTTACCATATTGACTTCTGATATGCTGTCAAAGCTGGCAATGTTTATGTCCATACCGATGAAGAGAGGTTTTCCTAGAAAAGAATATTTTAATGTTGAAGTACAGGTTTGCTACTCTTATGGGTGCAGACTCTTCATGCTAAGGTAGAAAAAAGCACGGAATGTGCTTTAGTTAAAAAGCCCGCTATGCCAGAGTTTTATAACATTCTTGACAAGATACGATGAGAACCAATCTCTCAATAAACGTTGCTATCTTCTCGTCGTAAGATCGCGCTTTCGGTTCTTTATTACTAACAATACCCTCACTCAACACTCCGGAACGAAGTCATCCACAATACATAAAGGCCCTAGTCGACCATCGCTCTAAGGTTGGTCTGGAAGCGTGTCACGCTGAAACCTTATTTTAATCATTTATTCTTCGATCATGCATGGGTTTTAACCACCTTCCTGATAATACCGCATCAATTCATGGCAACCATTTTTTTACCTGCTTTAGCTTATATTGCAAAATCAAATCTGTTTTTTTTTAATTTTTGGTTTGCTGATTTACCTTGAGTGCATACTGTTATTCATGCCTTGGTTTTCGACTATGTATATTTCTATCCATGAGACATCACTTGTCTGGGATCACGTTATATGTTTTTGTTAAGTTCAGCTAAAACTGTACAATCAAAAGTATTTGTATTGAAGCGTTCTATCTGCATTTAGGTGTCTCTAATTGTCACGGTAGTCATCCCTATTTATTCCATTTATCTATGAGGTATGAATTATTGAATGCACAAAATTTAAATGTATCTGTTTCAAAATTTCTTAGGTATGTGTAACCGATCTCCTTCCGACTGCTCAAAGTAGCTGTTCGAAAAAGAATACTTCTCAGCACGACTTCTGCGTGTCTTTGTTATCATCAAAACTTCATACGCTTCATAAGATATGTAAAGTAAGAACAGGCACTCAGTCGTGTCGTAATTACTCTAATACAATGTAAAACAGACGTTGAAAGACCTCCGAAATTTGGGCGTAGCCGAATGTCATATCCCTCTAGAATGTTCTTCAATATGTCCGTTATATTTTCCAGCTGCTCCGGTGGCTGATGATTGTACTGGCAGTAACTGAAAAAAAAAATCAAAGCATGCAATAAATGGCACAACCTGTGGCATCAAAAACAGTTTTCTTCTGAGGGAAAGGTAAATCTTTATATTGCATATTGTTTATGTAAGACAGAGTGATATATTATTATGAATCTCTGTTAATATAAATACTACTTTGTAATTAACGTGAATTCTATTGCTTTTGCATATTTGTATCTTCTGTAACCACTGCATCGACGAATACGTATAGTCACATTTGCCCGTACAGTCTACAGTGGAATGATAAATAGTTTGTTTGCATACTTCATACTTTAAACAAGCATAGTTTTATATTTGAAAAGTTAGATTCTTTTAATTGTATTTATAAATAGTTATACTTTCGCCAACAGGTAGTTCAGGTACCTCACAGCTACTAGATGTTGTCAAACAAGGGGCAGAGGGGCAGAAGTTCTGATGGGAGAAGAAATCTCAAATAGTTGAAAAACTGGTGAACACGAGGTGTCTCTGGAGCCTACGTTTTGGATGCGGACTCGCCTTCTTTAAGCGTGCAAATTGAAGCTCACAGCAAGTCAAATCCACTTGTCGAAATGTCGGTGTGAGCGAGACCCCGCGTTCACCAATTTTTCATCTGTACATTACAATAGGGTTCTTTCCTATTTTTTGCTTTTGTTCGTATGAGTGATTCGCTATGAATTTCAAATCAAAATGTATAGTAGGCATGTGTTAAAATCGTCGCTCTGAATATGAAACATGCAAGATGTAGAAAAAGCATAAAAATTATCTTAATATGCGAAAACCAAATTGCCAATTGAGCACATGCTCCAGTTCTTCCATGCGACACCAGATTCCTTTTACTGTTCGCGCACCTAGTGAAATGCGTGGCTGGTAAATAGCATCTTCGAAACTCTGTTCATAGAAATGTGAAATTTTCGACATTTTCTTCCTTTTATACGTTTATGGGATGGTAATCAGCTGCACGTCATTTGATCGGGTAGCCGTGGTACTATCAATGAGCCCCAATCTTGAGCCTCAACTATATTGGATGTGAGGAAGGCTGTACACAAATACCCCATCTCATCCCTCAGCATCTCCGTTTAGGGATGCACCTTTATTGAAGTGTCTTGCCAAGCCGGACAAAACAATGACCCCTTCTGGTAAACTTTAAAACTTAAGCTTCTCGTTTGTTCACTTGATCGTGCTTGTATTTTTTGTATATAAAAAAACGAAGTCCTCGGACAAACTTATGTTCGGTAGAAAGCAAAGCAGAAGCACTACGCACACAGAGACGAGCTAAGTCTAGACAAGACGCTTCTATCTACCAGCTAAAATATTCTTGCGTGGCGGAAGCTTTCTTCATTTTTCCTTTTAGCGTAGCTCAATATCCATGCCCTTATGCTATCTTTGTGTCTATCCTTCGTGTTATATCAATTTAGCGCTACTCCCCGTACGTGAACTACTACCACTCGCTTTGTTCACTGCTCCTTTCTTCAATATACCAGAGCTGCATGTGGATCAAAGCGGATGTCAGAGTTTTCATCTTCATACAGGTATTTTCTCATCGTTCTCCCATACATTTGTGTTTGTACTTTTGTCGTATCATAGAGGTGCGACGACAGCTACGATCATCGGCTGGTGACGTTTATAAGGAAGAACAAGACAAGAAAAAAAGCACGGCCGAACAGCATAAAGAAGCAGCAAAACAAGGCAAAAGATGTAAGCATAAAAGAAGTAATAGTTCCAATGCCGTGACACAGACTTCGGTGCGTAGAAATGTAAGACCACTTTGAAATATGCGAAGCTATATCGTCTTCTTGGACTTAGCTATAGCTTTGTTTTTATACTTTAAAAAATTTGCAGAGAAGTGCCGTTTTTCAAGAGGTGAAAGCAAACGTGTGTTTTGAAGAATTTTCGGCAATTTTTAAGAATTCCAGTTATCTGTTGAGCGAGTGAAAAGGAAACGTGGCTAATCTCAATTATCTCCTTCAGAACTGTCTCAGTTACTTTACGCTGTGCTTCAGATGGGCATTGATATTGTTCTCGGTACCATTATACCTTTTTTCATTTATTGGGCTGCTTTGTAGGTGACTGATACGACTAGCATTGAGAAGGTGGTTGCTCAACACGTGAACGTAGTGAAACTGAGCCTTTTGGTATACTGTAAATTCAATGGGACCCAATAAATTTGTGAAGCACAAACAGATTAACGATACGTCACGTAGATTCTTTATTTTCCTTTTTTTTCATTCCTCATTTGCAAATTAATCTCCTTCTTAATCTCCAGAGGACATTTTTCTCAGTTCTGACTATGCATTCGTAGCGCAGGACACAGCCACGTAAAGGCAAAACGTTCAGGAAGCAGAAAAGGGAGCGACAGTAGAGGTAGAGGCAGACAGAGAATGATGCAGCAACTTCGAAAGCCAAAGTGATAATGGGCTGAAAAAGTGAGTACGTGATCAACATTCGCAAATACACATGCCTCAAAAAGAGTGCATTTGGGTAATTCAAGAGCGCGGAAAGTGCGTGGAGCTGTGAAAACCTCGTTGTGCTCCCAAATGAACTTACTGCTTAGGGTGGTATGGAAAATACTTCCATAATTTAGAGGCAGCCCTGGAAGGAAACAGTTTTGGCGAAGGGTGCTTAAATTCTGTAATACCATGTCGGCTCTTATTAGGCATAAGCTGCTCTCATAAACTATTATAACATCGCCTAAACCCTTGCGCGCAGGTAATCGCTGTTTTCCTAAGGTATAATGTGTTTCATAGTTCATGTAAAATCAGAATCAATATGTGCTACCTGCAGCTTTATTGTTCTTGTTACGACAGTGTTGATAGCTGATGATTGCATTATTCCTATATATTCTTGATCATTTCTGTCTCTTACAGCCGTAGCCTTTTTACGTGAAAACGTTTCTTTCCGGAGATTTAAGATATTTATAAATGTTAAAGATATCTCTTAAAAGCAAATAATGACTATCAAAAGAAAAAATATAGCACCTAAATCACGTTCGAAAACGTTTTTATACGCAAAACATTCCTTCTAGGCAACTCATACCACGTGACCTTCAACTCGGCTGCAGTGTATAGGTGAAAGTACAAATGAGTGCTATCTTCGTTAAGTTTTGGGGGCGGGGATTTTCATCATCAGTACACTGCGACATAACAATGTATGTTACGCCTTATTTCTTAGGGCACTGGACAATGTATACTGCGAAACCCAAGTTCAGAACCCTTGGTAACGACAAGATAGTGCAAACTTTATCTAGAAGACAATCGCCTATCTCTAGAATCTGCGCAAACGCTTCATGTTTTCTCAATATGTACTAGACACAGACGTGGTTCATATTTCATCATTTCAGTCGTACAAAGGCCTGAAACTCTGTCGTGCGCTTTATGAAATTAATAAATTCATGTTCCCCAAGCATAACACACGCCTCATATTTAATTTAAACGACAAAGGTCTAGAAAATCAAGTTGTTATTTAAATGAAGAGTAAGAATTGCATTGTTAGCTGATGCGGCGATATAAGTAGAAAGAGCTAAAAGATTGTGCTCTTATTTTTATTCTATCATCATGAAAGAAGCTGTATTGGTACCCGTACATTGTCCCATGCCTTATTCTCATTTTTTTTAAGAAAAGAGAGCAGTAGAGCAGTAGCGTACGAAAGACAAATTAAAACGCGCTAAAATAAAAAGGAAATCAATGCCGACACATTTTCTACGATATCGTGTAACGCTGTCATAGCCATTTATCCTTCTTTAACAGCTTTAAGGTTTCGCTTTCCATAATCATAAAAACAAACTGTATTCTAAGTGATGAAACACGTGATATGGTATATAAGCCGATTATTTTCACATTGCATCAAGTAAGCTGTAACATTTATAGCTAAAAGTAAAATTGTTTGAAAAGTGCATTTTTTGCGTATTTACAGCTTCAGCACAACAAGATCTTTTCTCCACTGTTATGATATTTTCTTTTTTTTTCGCGACGCTGTGCATTCATGATACATCAGGGTGCTTTACTCAAGCAAGTTAAAATGAAGCTACCTACGTCGTAACTTTTTGGGAAATGAAAAAGATGACAATATATTCGCATACAATTCACTGCACAAGGTGAACTATATTTCACAGAAGCATGCATAGTACATCAATCCCTCAAATATATGAACTTTTCTTTTTTCGCTCGCAAAGTACACCTGGCGAGACAGATAGTTTACTTTCCTCACTTCATAGGCTTTCAATGATATGTTCGAGAAAAAACATGAAATAATTGTGCCTGTTTCTTTACACCTGACTTCTTGGGTTGCAAGTAGGGCCACACATCATCGCATGTCATCCGGTGTTTCTTCTTAAAGTCAGCAACTCAAGGAACACTCTCACGTTGAGATCGTTTCAGCAGTGATTCTACGTGCCCTAGATAACTCCTGATTCGTCCGAACTATCGATGCAAACAGTAATTTTCTTGCTTGATCTCACAGTGTTATGATTAACTTCTTCAGAGCCAGCTTATCAAAATCTTGCGCAATGCACATAACCCACTTCCAGCGTTATTAAACCCCCGCTTTTCGTTTTGATGCCTGTAAAGGCTGCATACCTGTAACGCTGCAGTGTCTTAGGAGGAGGTATACTGTTTTTCTTCAGGCAGTGAAAGCCAAACTCTCGAAAATAAGCTTATGTTTTTTTTTTTTTACTGTTGCCTTGTACGAATGAGAGTGCATGTGTAACTTTTAACAAGTTTTTTTGGAAGGTAGTTTAGTTTCCATGCCGAAGCCATCGTAGCACATTGCGCCATAGTCTTACGTGGTTGTGGAAGTGGCACGTCGCGCAGGCGATGCTAAAACACATAACTCGACCGCGAAGCCTGCGTTGCCACTAGTATTTAGAGCCCTTTAAGGAAAATCAGTCATACGAAAGAAGGTGTACAGTCGTCACAGGTGCACTTGTCTTGAGTGCAAAATAAAACGCAGCACACAGTCGCGTTTAAAAAGTCTCCCTGCAAGGAAGCCAATTAACTCTCTCAATAGGCGCACGCTTGCTCACACAAAAACAATGCGCTGTCGCTCAACGCCATTGCGCAACGCAGACAAGAAACAAAGGCGTTGTATCGAACGCGCCGGCAGGGAGGGCCCGATTTCCCGCAAGCTCAAGCGGGCGGGCAAACAGGGTCGTCGCTTACCCGATTCCGAACGTGAGATGCAAGGCGATGCATGTTGGAATCAACCAGGCTGCGCACAGCATTCTACGCTGGCGGCCTCGGCTCGTGCCTGGCACCTCGGTGGAACTGTGGACCACGTAGGTTCTGTTCCCCGGAGGGCCGAAGGCGCCGTCGGAAGCCGCGCTGGGTGCCGTTCCTCACCGCCGAGCCCGGGCCTGAAACGCGGCGCGGAGGCCCCGGCATAGCGCGCATGCGCCGTTTCAGTCTCGTGATGTGCGACGGCATCCCCTTCTTTCGGGCGCCGTTAGATGGAGCAACTACCGCCGAGGCTCTTCGAGAACGACAGTAATACCGGAGCCTTCGGAGCGATGGACTGCGCATTTTTTTAGGAGCGCTGTGAAACACAGCGGTTGTTTAGTCGCTGTTGTGTTTTTTTTTTCTCTGTCGTCTTGTTTGTTTTCCCGCTTGAATAACTTATTTCAGGCTCATTTGCAAGCAAGTTACTTGAAGGACGTGTTACCAGTTTGGTAAAGGCTTCCAAGTCAAAATAAAGCTATGTGTTTGCTGATCCTATGAGAGGAAGTAAAAAACATCCGGCAATACTGCGGGTAAGAAAAAAAAAAGTCTCATAATGCGCATGTTTTTTGAGAAGAAAGTCCTAAGTGACTAATCAGACCGGGATATCCGAAAAACGGCATGCTCTAGAACAAATACTGCATTTGGTTTGGTTGGCGAGAGGGAAGGACGGAGCTTTGATGATCTTGTGACATCATCAAGACGTCACAAATTGCCGAAATATGTAGAGTGACCGGGACTAGGGATGACGACATCCCATGACGACCGTTGCTTGATGTACTGCAACACCGTCTGAGATACAGAAAGTTTCGAATGAGTGAGAAGGGAGAGAGGTGAAGCAGAAACTGATAATTGTTTTGATGACTCAAGGATGCGTTGACTGAAGAGGCAAGATAGGTTAAAAGGCTTTCGTCCTAGTCTCTCTCAGAAGTACCTAAAGGTCCCGGCCATTCTTTTCTTGAAATATACGGAACGCTGTTACGAAGCCTTTACCAATGAAGAGCTGAAAAAAAAAAACTTCAAATACACCCATGCCTTAATATTTTCGCTTGGGGTAACTGGTGTAACAATTACTTCGGCTGTTTAGCATAGAAAAATAAGGCTCCGTCAGCAGCAATACCTTGCAAGCTTAGCCATTAAGAAACGTTAAAAAAAAAGAACGAAATTATAATGTTCCCTTTGTAACACAAGAGCTTTAGTCACACCAGCCCAGCGCCAAATCTTTCTAGCGCCCGCGGCACACCAGCATTCAAGTCAGAGCACTCGACTGGACCGTTTGATTTCCTATAAAAAGAAATGGAATATTCATGCTGTGTTAGCGGAAGTTGAGGACATATATTATAATGCTCCTCCTCAGTCATTTTTTTTTAAAGATGCACTCGAATGCGTGTCCGAGATGCCGGTTGCCGTCGGGAGTATTTTTACCCGTTGTCACCGTCATTACTCATTGCGGTTTTTATTAGACACACTTGGCTGGTTCATTCTCCCTGAGGACAGTTTTAGTATAAATTGGGAGCTCATTAGTGCGAAGGGAAATGCATGATAATTATTATGCGGGAAGTTTTCTGATTTCCGGACAGTAAATTGACTGGAAGTTGCGTTCTCAAAGGTGTGAGGCAACTTGCCTGCTCGGAAATGATTTCTCCAGAATGTTTCAGCTTTGCGTTTTTAGGAGCGAAGCTCCTTATAGCGGCACCTGTTCGTTCCTCGTAGTCGTTGTAGTATGTAACAAGTATAACATTTTGACCTCCAATGTGGTGCCGCTGAGAAATTTCTTCTGTGCGTTGTTGAACAATAAAAAATACTGCTCAATATACATGCCAATGGCTGCTAAGGGGGAATGAGAGACAGGAGCATTCGGCTTTTAGCTAACGCACTCGCTGCAATTCCCATTAGCAGCCATTGGCATGTACATTGAGCACTATCTGACCAGAAAGGTTTGCTACGTTATATTCGCTGGGTGTAACCTCCTTAGTTTTAGAAACGTATAGCGAGCGTTGAGCCGCAGTGCCATGAATACAATGAACTAGTATATACCATGAATGAACTCCAGGTGGTTAAAGGTGGGAAGTAGATACGAAGCGCAAGCCGTAAGAAAGTAAAAGCCGAATTCTCCTGTCTCTCATTTCCGATTAGCAGCCATTGGCATGTACATTGAGCACTATCTGACAGGAAAAGGCTGCTACGTATACTCGCTAGGCGTAACCTCCATGTTTTTAGAAACGTTTAGCGAGAGTTGGGCCGCAGTGCCATGAATACAGTGAACTAGCATATCCTATATACTCGACGTCGTTAAAGGTGGGAAGTAGACACGAAGCGCAAGCTGTAAGAAAGTTTGCGTGTGCCACCTATCGTTTAGTCCTTGGAAAGTCCGCTGGATAGCGGTGCTTCTTAATGGGGAATATATGATGATGCGAGATTGTGGTACTTGGAGTGTTGAAGAGATGGACGAACGGACACACAGACAGATGCATGGATGGACGCATGAACGGACGCAGGGGCGGATGCATGAACGAATGCAGGGACGGATGCACGAACTGACGCACGCACGAACGGGCGGATGGACGCATGGACGGTCACACAGACGGGCGCATGGACGGACGGAAGCAAGAACGAATGGATGGACGAATGCTTCGCCCCACTCTCCATCAATCACTCCGTGGATATGCTGCCAATTTTTTTTTCTTGTTTAACGACGCCGTAAACAACCACTGTTCGTGTGCTTCGGGTTATCCACACAATCTAGCGCACGGTGCAAAAAGAACGTTTATGCTTGCCTTTCAAAGCCTCTTCCCGTGATTCTTGTATTCACAGTAATTACTTCGTGTGTGAAGTAGCGAGAATTCATGTGACATAACTAGTAAGTTTGATTCGCTTTGTTCATGTCATCAAAGGTCGCAATTAAAAGAAGTAGCGATTCGCGGCAACCCGAAAGTAAAGTCTAGTTCTTCTATTATCACAATACATGTGAGGTGACAATTGTTAAATCTTTGTATCGATTAAGTGTAACGTTTTGTCGGCTCTCCGCCTGACCCAGTTGCTCGTAAAACACTACTCATTGAAAGGAAACAAGAGTGATGCTTATGCATTGGCGCGAGCTGGGCAATCACGAAGCAGAGAAAAATAAGGAGGAGGATGAAACAGCTGGCCCGACGCAAAGTCTCTGTGTTTCTTATTTATTTATTTATTTATTTATTTATTTATTTATTTATTTATTTATTTATTTATGCGATAGCGTTAGAGAGCTTGTGTCGTAGAAATTTTGCCGTCAGCATCGGCACCGTTGGTTGTGAGCGAAAAATTGAAGGAAAAGGAATTGAAATAAAGAAGAAATTTTTGGTCCCTAGAGTATCGAACATGAGCCGGTCACCTGGCAAGTACATGCTCTACCACAAAGCCACGTTGTCACTTGCAGCTGCCTCGGGAAAAAACACCGCATAAATGCCATGTAGTGGAAGGAGCCTTCTTAACGCAATTTGTTCGACAGGTGCCACGACGAAAACTATCCCATTGGGCAATTTGTAGGCGCGTTCGGAGGCTATTAAGCTGCGTCAAAAAAGGCCGGGATAGTGCAGCCATCGCTGCTAAAAACGCACAGGAACTATCGAACAGCTCTAAAAATGGACAACTATGTCTATCTATCGGAAAACATATCATGCCGTTCCACAGCCGTTGATCACGTGAACACCAAACGCTAGATAATCTTCTACCATCTGTGAGGCATTGTGAAACTCTTTTGGGCCTCCGAGATTGCGAGCGCGCGGCGTGTATCTTGGAGGCCATGCGACACTTGCATTAGATGAAAAACCTTTATGTACCATTCGCGCGCGCGCATGTGCGTGTGTGTGTCTGTGTGTCATATCTGAGACATTGTGAAAAACGTGTCTAGAACTACAGCAGAGCGCCGTTCTAGGAGAGGGAAGTGGCCACACTGCACAGTCACTGCATTACTATAGACACGTCGCTTTTGCGTGTGATCACGTTTGTGTGTGTGTGTGTGTGTGTGTGTGTGTGTGTGTGTGTGTGTGTGTGTGTGTGTGTGTGTGTGTGTGTGTGTGTGTGTGTGTGTGTGTGTGTGTGTGTGTGTGTGTGTGTGTGTGTGCGTGTGTGTGTGTGTGTGTGTGTGTGCGTGTGTGTGTGTGTGTGTGTGTGTGTGTGCGTGATTAACAAAACATATTAATAAGTATGCACTTGGCAGTTGAATGGTGCACTAGGGGCAGGATTTCGCTATCGCGTTTAACATTTAGAGGCGAAGTTTAAGGGTCCCTCATTTATTTATTTATTTATTTATTTATTTATTTATTCATTTATTTATTTATTTATTTATTTATTTATTTATTTATTTATTTATTTATTTATTCAGTAGATACTGCAAGCCTAACGAGAGCTCTGTAGAAGAAACACAACGAACTAAATTGGTAGAAATAGAATACGCTAATTAAGAAAGTGTGATAGAATGGAAATAAACCAAAGGGTTCGTTTATTATAACTCAGCCAATAAGCAGTGACGACGAGAAAACCATAAACGACCTTACTATGTAATGTTAAACCATAGTGTGACACAAAAGGGGGAGAGTTAAAGTGAACCAAAAACAGCTTTCAGTCGGCCGACATCTACACTTCAACATGCGGGATAACAACTTAAGAAAAAGTTTTTAGATTACCGTAAATTACAACAAAAGAGAATGACATTGTAGTACACACAATTAACAATGATAGAACAAACAGAACCAAATAAATAATTCCAAATGCAAGGAAAATACATAGCTAAGAGCAGAAATTACGATACGGCACAGTGCGAGGCCTTAGACTGATAGGCAGACGTAGTGTGTGAAATTCATGTAACATCGTCAGACATGAAGGTATTATTTTTCTCCATTGCCGCTTTCCTGTCACTGACGGCAATACTATCAGCTAGAAGTGCACTGCACTACCGTTGAGCCTGTTCTTTTCTTATATGCCCGCATTGTTATCACGAATTGCAGTCTCGTTAATCTATGGGAACTAAAGACGAATCAGATCCTAAAACTGTTCTCAAGTGGAGACCTTCTGGTTGTTCACGGTAAACGCTGCTACGCTTGCGAGTGTGTAACTTGACTTTTCTTTCATTCATCCTTTACCGAAATCCTTTCCTCACCATCCACATTACGCCACGTAGGATGGGATATAAAGTGGAGCCCTGCTTTACA